TAACATGACTGGAGGAGGAATTCTGGGGGTTGAAGTCCACAAGTCTTCAAGCTGTCAGGTTTGAAGATCCCTGGTGTAGGGTCTCCTGCTTGGGCAGGAGGTTGGACTAGAGGACCTACAAGACCCCTTCCTATTCTGTTAATCTGTGATGTGAAGCTTGTAGGACCTTTCGACCTTCCAGACCCAAAAAAATTCATTCAAGAGTCCCATGGCTGCTCGTTGATTTGATCATCATCTCTGCAACGTCCCACATTTCCTCCAGATGTTTCCACCCAAGGGAGAGCAATCTAGTCATAGTTTTTAATTTTAATTCCAGTATAAGGGAGAAGACCTCTCAGTCTTTAAGAAAGGATCTCAAGAAAATGGGCTCAGTGCCTGTGGCCCACTTTTTCATAAGGGTTGGAGCTGGTAGGGTAGACGTTGCCTGGTCTTTCTTCTAGAGAAGTGTGCCTGAACTGAGATGTAGTTACCTATTTTTCAAAGTCCTCTCTTCCTTTTTTTTTTCCTAAAAAGTTCTTTTAGATTAAAAAAAAAAGCATGGCCTAAGAAAAAGATAGCACTCCCATCCTTCCCATCCTATCTTGGCGACCTTCTAGGACTGGAGGTTGAATGACTCAGTCAGGAATGGTTGACCTAAGAGTTGCAGTCTGGTTGAAGTCATCGATGTCTCTTCCTTCTTCACAACCCCTTCTCTCCTTTCCACACCTCCCGCTTGTGGGGAGAGACTTCCCCATCTCTGGCATGTCCTTACTTGAACAGTAGACCTGGGGAGATGATAGGGCTCCAAACTGTAGAGTTGGAGCCCTTGTGAAGCTTCCCAGCTCATGAATTGGGCTCAGCCTTGGCTGGGTGACTCATCTGGAAAGAACCCAAAGAGTCATAACTGTAATGAATGATTAATTGGTCTAAATGCTGTTAATGGTGAAGGAGGCTGTAGAAATTCAGTCTTACAGTCAAAGGAGAAAAGCCAAGTTGTCTGGACAGGAACTTAGGATATTCAGTTCTGAAGAAAAGCACGCTTGTAGGTAACACGAGAGCCTTTTTCCCGTCCCTAACAAGGGATTAAAGGAAAAATGAGTAACCATTATTCTCTATAGCCATCGAAACAGATCAGAAAGAATGGGTGTAAGTAGTGCTTCCCAGATTTCATTTAAAGATAGAGAAACTGCCTCGATCTATGACTGGAAAGGTCTATTTACCGTATTTCCCTGGAAATAAAACGGGGTTTCATATTAATTTTTGCTCCAAAAGACACATTAGGTCTTATTTTGGGGGAAATACTGTGCTATATTGACTGTTTCCTAGTATGATTTGATTGCTTATTGTGCCCTATGACTATTATTAAGTGTTGCACCTGATGATTCTTGATGAATGTATCTTTTCTTTTATGTACACTGAGAGTATTTGCACCAAGACTTGTGTGTACAATCATGCTTGGCCAATAATGAATTATTTCTATTCTAAATGCGTCCATATGACTGGCTGAAAATCTTAACTGGGACTTATTTTGTGGGGGTAGGGCTTATATCAAGAGCCTCCTGAAAAAAAAATCATACTAGGGCTTAGTTTCCATCTGGGTCTCATTTTCGAGGAAACGTGATTTATTGTTGTGGCTTATATATGGAGCTTTTCAAAACAGCTTGGACGACGACCTCTAGAAGATAGTTTAGTTGATTTTCCTGAAAATTGTCCGAAGCCTGGAGGATATAAGATAAACCTTTGTGGTCTCTTTCCAACTCTACATTTTTATGATTTTCTGATAACTGAATATAGGAAACCTGCGTTCTTGCACTTTGATCTGCATTGCATTTCTTCCAAGATCGAAAATAAATTCTCACGTCTTAGTGTCTGGATTCCATTTTCAGCCTTAGTTGATCTTTCGGGAGCTTCCGGGTTGCTGGATGGTGCACTTTCCTAAGTGTACAGCTTTCATTTGTCCTTCCAAATTAATCACATGTTGCTGGGGTTTGTAGAGGTGTGAAGTGACCATTTTTTTTTAATTTCAGAGCAGTTTCTTTCTTTGGAAAGGAATTCCTTAGCTCAACCCTGTTTTGGTCAGGGAGGGCCTAAGAATGGAAAGGAATCCAGAGAGGGGAAAAATAATAATGAAAGAGGCAGAAGGGTGCAAGCCAAGCAGGGATGTGAGTTGGATATTTGACCAGATTTGGAGGTTCACGAACATCATCACCCCTGGCTCTCTAAACCTTGGAGACTTCCAAGCAGCCAACGTCTGAACTCCAGAGTTGTCCCCACGCTCTCTTTCATGTTTCCAATGTTCTTGTCTCTTTCAGCCACTGTACAACCAGCCTTCGGACACGAGGCAATACCATGAAAACATTAAAATGTAAGTAGCCAGCAGCAAAAGATCTCCCATCTCGGCACGTCGTGGCCTCTAGCTTTCAAAGGTCCAGCTGGGGAGAATGGCTCAGCATGTCAAAAATTGGAATGTTTTTTTGACGGCTCCCCCTTTTTCTATCCGTCTATTTCCATCTATCTGCCTATACACTTATCTACATATCTGTCTGTATAGCTGTCAATTAATCTATCCATTTATCTCTCTATTTCTATCCATCTATCCATTTATCTATATCTACCTCTATATATATCCATTTATCCCTTTATTTTTCTCTATTTCTGTCTATCCATTTATCTATTTATCTATCTATCTATCTATCTGTCTGTCTATCTATCTATCT